ACCGAATATGACAGCCCTGCTCTCGGACACAGCTCGTGCCTCGGGGTCTGGATGGCTTTTCCTCTCGTATCAGAGATGAAAGGCTCGAAAGCTCGACTGTTGTTAATCTCGTGATCTTCCAGGGTCAAATGAACGTCGCTCCCTGCAGTGCTTTGGTCTCAGACACGCAGCACGGTGCATGAAGTTTGTGACCTGTATTCGTCATATGAAGTTAGGGAAAGCAGTTAAAGGAAAGCATTGACTACATATTACACACACTATGTACTTGCATTACTTTTCCAGACCATATCATCATTTCATAGAGTGACTTTAAAAGCTTGTGGGAGAAGTCAAACTGGATACAACACTTGAGAGTTGTGGTTTGAACTGAAACCAACTGCTGCCTGGAAGATTAGATATCTAAAAACAAGATTAGTATGCTGTGGGAAATAGTTTGCAGAGTAATCGGGTATTAAAAAATAAGCATCAAACACACTAAAGACTGGATTCAGGACTGGTTTTTGATAAGGATGATTTTGATACGTTGGCATTTTCAAGGCAAAATGAGCAAATATCCCGACAACTTGAGTATTAACGTTCATTGTGCATTGCATTGTGAGCCTGAAATTGAGGTCAAACGGTAAAACTAAGCAGTGCTGATCAAATATAAACCACCAACCCAGTCTTACTCTGAAGTCGTCGAAATCCGGCACTTGGACAGTGACTTGCGGTGTCAGACACTGATGAAAAAAGCCATCCTTTAACGACCAAATGAGTTGCAGGTGGTCGCCGTTATAGTTTAATGACGTTCAGTGGCGTCAGGGGGAAACGCAGCGGAACAAGAGCGAAAGTTAAGGTGGGTGGGATGGGTGGTGGATGGGTCCAACAAACACCGACTTTCACCTGGTAAAGTGGTGTTCGCGTTCTGTAAGATCCTAAAGCCAAACCCTGTTCTTTTGTCCTAAACCTAACTACTTGCTTTTGTTGTCTAGACCCAACCATGTATGTACCACGTATGTAAACGTTAAATTTCCTGTGAAAATGGAAGTGTTTTTTGAAAGCGGACAATGCATGTAACAGGTGGAACCTGACATGGCGTCACAGAACGTCAATAACCAACGCACCCAGGGTACCTTTAACGTCGTACCAGGACGTGGACGATCCATGACCTAACGTCAATATGTGACGAGGTCTGAGTGAGAATGTGTTGGTTGCTGAGTTGCCTATTTCTCACCTTAAATGTTTTAGCTTACACTATAACTGTAATAAGACTGTTAGCAGCCACCATTATGTCAAACTGACATGTTCGCATTACGTCACCCACCAGCGGGAGCGTTTATTGGTCCAGTGCGACGCTGTGCGTTCTGGTAGTTGTTGGTTTTCTACCTCCCTTCTTCACTGTTCTCTCTCTCCCAGTTTTAAAAGTATTTGCATCTTTCTACTGCATAGACGGCCCAGTTTTATAAAAAAGACCATGAATGATTTTTTAAATATAAATTTGTTATAATTTATAATAGTTTTGTTTCAGTGGACTGATTGATTAACTGACTAATGTTTTCAGCACTATTCTGAAGTGAGCATCTTTCCCAGCCTCATACTTATATAAGTAGTTGTGGGTTTAGTTGGGGAGCTGTGTAGGCAAATTAAGTGTTTTCTTTAACCCCGTCTTATTGACACACTACAGGGAGTGTGCTATTATTAGTTTGCAGGATGGGGATGTGGTGAGTAGCCCATTGTGTAAGACTCCAATTAAAATCAATCTTACTGAGTGAAGGTCTGCTCAGTCAATATCCTGTGGGTTTTACAACTGACAGCGTTTTCTTAGCTGGAGACGGAGGATCTGTTCTCTGCATGTTCATCCCCATGACCAATTAGGATTATTTACGTAGGATCCTCCACAGGGAAGTAATAATGACTGCCTCTCATATCAACATGTAGCCATATAATGTCTCATTTATTTGATGTGAATCTCACTTGAGACGTGCTAACAGTCTCTAAGTCTTAACTGTGTTATTAGGACAGGACGTAAAAAGTGACAATCCCACCAAGACACAAGCTTTCCACAAAAATACATATTTATATCACATTTTGTTCTGGGCCACTGTTGACCTAACATCTCTGACTGACGGTGGCTAAATCGAGAATGCCTGGAGTATTGTTAAGCAGCATGTGCTCGTCCACGACTACAGCAGCTCGCAGCAGCAGTGCACCATCTGCCAGGTGTTGTAGTATTTATGTCTTTGTGTCCTCTCCTTCATGTGTGGGTCTCAAACTGAAATGTGTATTTAAAGTGTGTATCTGCTGATTTTATCTGTCAGAGTCTCTCTTTGTCATTTGCAAAAAGAAAGAAAAAAACTGTTATGAAGGGGAAAGATTTTATAATCCTAAGAACATTTTAAAGGGACAGTTCACCCCAAAATCAAAAATGCATTATTTTTCCATTTACCTGCAGTGCTGTTTATCAGTATAGATTGTTTTGGTGTGAGCTACAGAGTGTTAGAGAGATCGGCTGTCTGCCTTCTCTCCAATAAAATGGAACTAGATGGCACTCAGCTTGTGGTGCTCAGAGTGCCAAAAAATACATTTGACAAACTCAACAGCAATGTCTCTTTTCAGAAATCATGACCCGGTTACTCAAGACAGTCCACAGACCTTGTTGTGAGCAGTTTCATGTAGGAACTACTTTCTTTCTATCAAGCTACATCCATTAACAGTATAACCATAAAGAAGGAAGTGTGCATCTACTTGTGGATGAGCGGCTAATGCTTATGACAGATCAAAACATTAAGGCCCTGATCACACAGAGAGCATTTTAGCAACTCGAGGCAGCTTTTTGCAATTGTTGTTAATAAGAATGAAGCTTTGTGCTCACGGTTTTTGTGGCACGCATGCGTTTCTATGCTCCAGGTGCCTGGTGTTTTTGCCAGAGCGCTCTGAACTGCCTGAGTTGGGAAAACTTCAACACAGAGCAGAAAAATGCCCCACGTCATCTCTAGGGATGGGTACCGAACCCCGATATTGAACGAGCCCCGGGGCTACATTCTTCAAGACCGCAGTATTGATAAGCTCTGACCTTAACAGTTCTGCTATCGGTACTGGAGCAGTCGTTTTTTGTTTTTTTTTTGCAAGATAAACCTTATCTTGCACATTTATCTCACCAACTCCGTCAGTTATCCGTCATTGTATCATAATTTTCGCTATTCTCCCTGAAGACGAGAGATCTGTCTCGCTCACCCTGGCTGCCTGCTGTGTGTGAGTGGAGAGCAGGGGGGCGGGGCTGTTGTTACAGTGACACACACACACACACACACACACACACAAGACAGCGCATACACCAACTCAAGCTCGTAGCCTACCTTTAGATAGATAACGATGGCGGAGAGAGCCAAGCGGTCAAAAGTGTACGTATTCCTGTCAAATACGGCGGCCATAGTGCTCCGCGGCGCAAGATAACGGCTTACCGGCGACGGATAAGTCCGGCTCCAGGTCCAACATTTTCCTCTTTGTTGATGTCATGACTGTCCAGAAGTACCTGAACAGCTGAGCCGTGGCAGCACACAGGTATGTGGCGTGTCAGAGGAGAAACGAGCCGTTCACATTTCTCTCTTTGTGGCAGGTAATGGTCCACAAACCTTACCGCACTTTAGGGACTGTTCTTAACTTGTCAGGGGAGGAGGGTGGCTGGTTGATTTTTACTTTATTTATTTATTTTATTTTGATCCCCCCCCCTATGTTAAATCACTTATTGATGCTGTTTTTGAAGTATGATTAAGTCAGTAAGTAATTTATTCCATTGAAATATCATTGATGTATTATAGAAAAGTGATTTATCTTTTTATAAATGACAAAAGGCACATCTGCCTCATTTTTGCTGTGGTATCGTGATACTACTCAGAACCGTGATACTTTCACTGGTATCGTACCGTGGGTCCCAATTTTGGTACCGTGACAACACTATTATTTTATGTATTTTACATTTCAAGTTGTAAAAAGTAAAATGTTTTGTTAAAAAACTATTTTGTTGCATAATGAGAATTGAGAAAATAAAGGAATTTATGTTCTTAATTTGTTTTTTTCTTCCTCAAAAAGTATCGATAAGAGTACCGTTAAAATACCGGATTGATGGGGCGTCGGTGGCTTAGTGGTAGAGCAGGCGCCCCATGTACAAGGCTGTTGCCGCAGCAGCCCGGGTTCGATTCCAGCCTGTGGCCCTTTGCTGCATGTCACTCCCTCTCTCTCTCGCCCCTTCACGCTTGTCTGTCATATCAAATAAATGCCCAAAAAATATCTTTAAAAACAATACCGGATCGATAAGAGTAGTAGTGCCGTTAAAATCCCATCCCTAGTCATCTCTTTTTCGTCATCTTTTTTCCCATTGTCCATTCAGATGATTTGAGAGGCGGGCCCTCTGTGGTGGTCACGACAACAAGTTTACAGTTGGTAAACAATGGAGGAGAAACTGGTGGTAGCGATATCCAGAGCTATATGGCCCGATGATAGACAGCAGGTTGTCAAACTGTCCCAGAGTCATTTTAAAAAAACAACCGGTGGTACTCCCCATGATCCACCCTCTTTTTCGGGGTCTCATGTATGCACACAGATCTCTGTTTACCTGTGGCCAACAAACTATTTGCTGACAGCCATTCACCCTCAACCAGAGCTACAGCAAGTATCCTCTGCCTCAACATTTTAGGAACTAGCAACTGATTACTGGGGGGAGAAATGGTAGGAAGTAATGGGGAAGTTGCCTGGCAACTATAAAAAGGCACGGCAAGCATTTTTTTCTACTAGTGGCATTCAATTTAACAAACAAAACAAAAAAGTAGTGACAAATGCAGCGATGCACAATCACCATTTACAATCATTTACACACTCCTGCATTGTTCCTGTTATGTGGCTTTTTAATGCCACATCTCCAGTTTCTTTAATATCTTATTTTATCTTTATATAATTAACTGAAATTGTTTTTAGTATGGCTTAAATTCCCTGTTGTTGTTTCTTGTTATCCCCTCTTTGTTTAGGGTAATCAACGCAGGAAAGAGCACACTAAATGAGGACCAGGCCTGCTGTGAGGTGCTGGTGGTCAAGAGGAGACCTGCAGGAAGCTCCACGCCCAACCGGACCCCCATGGCCCGCAGGAGGTCATCCCTGCCCAACGGAGAGGGCTTGGGCCTCCGGGAGTGCTTGGTGAGTCAAAGTAATGGGTCTGGTTCATCAGGAAATGTCCACAAATATCGCCATCTCCAGTCTGAATGACATTCTGCAGACCCATTTTTATGACCACAAGAAGAGATGTTAAAACTTCCTCCCTTGTCCGTTTGTTGTCCTAAATAATCACATACTGACTGGATGGAAGACGTGTGTGCTGCTAATGTCATGATTTCTAGGTATTGATTTAAAAAAACAAAATAAAAGTGACATTAAAAAACTAAAAGCTAATTCACCGAGCTCAGTACTGATCTATCTAACCTATACTTTTAAGTCTAAGAATTAAAAATCAAATGCTAATTTCCTGAGGCATCTTTTTGACCAAGTGTTAAAACTGATCACAGAGTGGCAGCTTCTGCATTGATTCACTGATGAAATCCAGGTAATGGTCACAGTGGATGTAGTCCTTGAATGTCCCTAAGGGCCTGCTGTTGGGACCCACTGTCCTCTCATCCCGTCCCATCAGCAGTTTATTGGGGCGTACAGCACAGCGTCCTTGACACACCACAGCCTCGGCCTTCAGCAGCTCTTGACAGCCACTAACATGGGCAGGCGAATGAGAGTTCATTTGCTCACAGAAGTCAGCCATGTAGCCTTCTGCAGTTACTGACAACAGTGGTGGCTTTTTCCTGTTGTTGCAGCCACTTAACACTGATGTTTACCTCTTATGTTTCACTGTAATTCTGATTTGACATGCACTCTGTGATTTCTTCATTGTTCTTTCATCTGTTCATGCAAAGCATTTTGTTGGGTTTAATTCCCAAAGGCAACACAGAAATATCTATATAAAGTAATACTGCTGCTAAAATTTCCCCTCAGCCCACCAGTACTTTACGCAGGTCCACCCAGAGCCTACAGCAAACTCATGCAAGTACCTCATGACTCACTACTGCAGCGATACTAGACCAATAAGAATACTAGTGTAGAGCCTTTTTGGCACTGTTTGCTTGCTTCATAGGCTCATGTTGTAGAATCTGCCTGCACTATATTTAGAAGATCAGAGCTGTAGTGTGTGCAGAGATATGTGTTAGCAATGATCTACACTCAGTGACCAGAAAAATGCAGTATATAAACCCTGTCCCTGCAGAAGAAGTCAGCCTTTTTTTTTCACTTTACAAAGTGTTACAGCATAATAAGAGGTGTGTACTAGCAACTCTATGTCTATACTTTGATTATATAAAGCTACAGTTAGTAAATTGTCATTTTTGCTGAAACTGTCACTAAATTCGAAATGACATACATGAGACAAACAGTCTGCAAAAAATCATGTCACGATATTAATCAAACTATATATTTTGGGCGGGGCAACACAATGGTTTGAGTTAAAGGTGTGAGAAAGAATAGTATCAGTAACATTGTTAACACTGTGCTACATTACAGAGAAATACAAAACCGTACTAATGAACCTTCATTAATATAGGCCTATATTTTATCTACAAGTGTACGTCACACACTGAGCGAGCTTCCTGTTAATGATGCTGTGGGCTAATGGGCATGTAGCTACTTCCATGTTTCAGATGATACGTCATGTTTGTAGTCGACCAATGAAGATGAGTTTACATATCACCTTGGGTTCGTCCTTCACCTTCTCAAAATGATCCCACACTTTGGATTTCCTGCCCGACATGTTATTAACTAGCCTGTGGAATAACCGCAGGTACCAGCCCTGGAAATTAACCTGACTCCTGTCTGACTGCTGAGTGTGGACACTTCCTGTGTCTGTGCTTTCACATTAAATCCCCACATGGTCTAGTCATATAGGTTTTGATTTATTTTGACAAGGCGCAGCTCCTAGTAGAGTTTCACGCTTTTTTTTTTCTGCAACTAAGCGACCAATGAAATTTTGCAAACTAATGACCTTTCAGGTCGACTAACATTTGGTCGACTGTTAGACGGCAACCCTAGTTACTGCATTGCCTGTTTCTCGCCTCGTATGTTTTCAGAAACGTATTTTACAGCTTTTTTATTTAAGCTGTAAAATGGGAAAAATTTCTGACTGGATGAGTGGATGGCATTTTGTTTCAGCATGACTGTTTCCAATGTGGCAGCCAGGTCACAAACGTTTTCATTATACAGCTAGACAGTACACTAAAATATGTTTGTGAAAACATTTGAGGGGGAATAGGCAATACAGTAAGAGAATCTTGATTCATATTTGATTAGCACTGCTAAATTTGATGACATGACTTCCAGCCACGTTAGACACTCCTCGGGTCTGATTGGTTATTTTCATTCACATGCGGTAAGGCCCTTAGAAGTGCTGCAAGGCAATAGAGTAGGCAGAGGAGTATGATTTGTTTTACAGATCATCGGTCTCATTTGGTGCTGTGTGAATATTGTGACAATTTCAGCAAATATAACCAACTACCAACTAATGCTCTACGACTTCGAATGGAGTCAAATGTGGATGTTAACAGACCTGCAAAAAGCGTGGCCTTTTTCCTCCAGGACGGCGGAAGATCATAGAGTTACTGCACTTTTTGAAGGCGGCAAACTCAAAGGTGTGAGGCACTCTGTCTAAACATGACATGGAAGGTGGCACTTTGTAGATGAACACATCAGTGCGCCTATTAAAACCTGCATATTTAGGCATTGATCCCAGAGCATACATTAACATCACAGACCAGGTTTGGCACCCCCCCAAGATGAAGGCTGCTTTAAGATCAGAAGACGTCGGTGAATGAAAGCATCCTCACTGAACACCTACAGTATGGGATGAATTCAAACGCAGTGTCAGTAGACTGGAGCTTTCACCCATAAACTTCGGGCAATGTGTGAAGCACTGATGTCAGCTTTAACACCTGGACCGTGCAGCTTTCTGTTTGAGTCTCTGGCAGCCGTACTCGGGTCTGAACTTGGTCCAATATGGTTATGAAAAAGACCTTCTATTCTTCTGGTCACTGAGACAGTACACATGCATCAGTGGTTCCCAGTCTTTTTGGCTTGTGACCCTCTACACAACATCTACTCCTGTCACCCACCACAGGTTGCTTGCTGTGTCAGTTGCTTCCATCAGTGTTGCTCCTCTCCCTTTAGAGGCCATATAGAAAAACTATCTAGTATTCTACAATATAAAAACAAAGATAAAAGTCACATATCGCAGAAATATGTTTTTTTCTCTATTTCCTTTTTCTTATTTCCCCTGAAATTTCCAGTATCTTGATATGGATGGATCCCTCCAGGTAAGGAACCACAGCAGTACATTGTATTAATGCAAGAAAGGAAGCTTTGAATTATACTCACACTTTTATCATTTTGAAGGATGAGTCATTGCATTTTAGCATTTAGCATTTTGCATGTACCCCATGCACACCATTTGACCATTTTTAAACTTCAAATCTCTGAAAAAGCTCATAAAACCGAAAGAAACTGACTTTCTGTAATGCATTTCAATGGACGTCCAGGCAGAGAATGTCCGAGTGTATGGGAATGGCTATACGCACTGTGATTGGCTCATCGTGTTTGAGGGCGGGGCTTAGCCATAGGTCAATTGTCCCCCTCTCCTCTACCACCAAAACTGGACTTCAGTCCATCGCAATCCATTTTGCACGGGAGTTAATTAGTCAGTGTTATGCTGCTAAGCTAAACCTGACTCCTGAAACCACATCAATTAAAGCTAGCAAGCCCGTGACCTACCTCGGACCGGACGACCCTGCCTCCTACCACCTGCCTAAACCACACCCACATCTGCAAGACACTCATTTCACTACCAATAAAGCTGTCATAACAGTCAGTCACAGATAGACTTACTCAGTTTGCGTCTGGTCGCCTGGTTGAGTGTGACTTGATGAGGCTGGCTCGTAGCGCTAGCATCAGAGGTTGTACTAGCTCAGACCTCCGGGCTCGCTGCTAAATGCTCTTGGTTGGGTTGATATTTCAGGCTTGAAATAATCCAATAGTATGAAAAGTCCTAACTGCAGTTCCATCTGGGTGTTTTTTAAATGCAGATGTTCCATTTACGGGGCAGAGCAGCGTTGTCTCGTCTGCTTCCATCATGTGACAAAGACACTGTGGCCTTCAATGACAAAGGGCACCACAGAATGCTATTAATCAGCACTAAATTCTTTAGTGTGATATTTTTTTGACAGCCCTAATTTTTACTTATTCAGAGTGCAATATCGCAGTCTTTCGTGATGTGTTTATCATTGTAGTTATATTGTGATGATAAAAAAAGATGATGTATTGTACAGCCCTAGTAAACGCAGATTTTTTGCTGGTGACTACAAAAAGTTAAGCCATGAGTTGTGTTGTCTGCCGACAAACTCACTGATCATTCTCACACTGGATAAGTTATACATAAAATGGTTGGTTGATGACATAACTCCTCTGCTGACTACACCCCACAGATATATCGATTAATTTATTTGTTACTCTTATCTGTATCCAGGACAGCTCTGAAGACCTAACCCTGCACTACTGGGCGTTGTTCGATGGCCACGCCGGCTCTGGGGCGGCTGTAGTGGCTTCCCGCCTTCTACATCACCACATCGCCCTGCACCTTCAGGAGGTGACGGAGATCATCTGCACCCCAAACCTGCTGCCCCCGACATGCCTCGGGGAGGAGCCTATCAATCACCACCTCACCCCGACATCCCAACGCGCCCTCACCAGGGCCGCCTCGCTCCGCGGCGCTGCAGGGGCTCCGGGCTCACCCAGCACCCCGCCCACGCGCTTCTTTACTGAGAAGAAAGTTTCACACGAGAGCCTGGTGGTCGGAGCCATCGAGAATGCTTTCAAAGACATGGTAAGAGGCGTGTGCTCGGTGTGAAGTGGGAGTCTGGAAGTTTTTTATAGAATGTGCTGACCTTTTTGCAAATAAAGTATTAGATCAATTCTCCAGTGTGCAGTGAAAACACCAGGCACACCACTCAGATTACAGAGCATAGAAGACATGTTTACTCATGGCTTCTAGTCTTGTTCTTGCACTAAGAAAAATAACAATTTCACTCTCGGATCAATCTCAATGATACTATCATGGATTCTGTTTTTTTACTCACTTGTGCCCCAAAATCTGGGACTATATTCTTCACAGTTCACAGCAGGGTTTCTGTAAAAATTAGTGCCAGTCCACATGTCCTGGAAGATTTCAGTGTCCTGGACAAATGGGAGAAGGTCTGGTCAAATTTTATCTGTGTTTATTGGTCATATAAACAATTGATAGGCGGGCTACATAGACCCTTTTACAGCCAACGCCATCAAAAAGATGCACGCGCATTCTCAAGTTGTGCAGGATTCTGAGAGGCTCAGGACCGTTTCAGAGCAATCGGTGGCGTCTATGGCTGCAAGCTATCGTAGTTTTCTGGTTTGTTGATTAAACCCATGCATCCTTGTCTTTAGCTCTTTTTTAGATAGGAATTATGCAAATTTGCAGGAAAGCCTAATCAGTCTTTTTTCAGCATTGGCAGTATAAACACAAAATCGGGGAGTGCAGCAAAATGCCGCCTGCCTACTTTTGTTTATACAGAATGTTCCTTTTTCTGGGCAATGGGGGGCGTGAGCAAGTAACAAAACGTGTACCTCAGCGTGTGACGTAAACAGTGACGTGGGAGGGAAGCCGCGGCTGGTCAGTCCTTCGGAGATTTTCTTGTAAATCGGCCCGTTCTTCACCGTCCCTGTCATCTGACTGTTAATGGCCTCTTCGTTTGCGAGGGCAAGGAGGGCGCGCAATTTCTTGTCTCCCCAGTTGCTCATCTTTACAGTGTCTGTCAAGTTTGTGTTTCCCTCTTGCTACTAGCTGCTTGCTAATTCCTGCTATCAGCTGTTTCCTGTTTATCCACCGCCAGTGGCTCGCACGTGCGGCATCATCAACAGCTCCTCCCACAAGTCTTCAACAGCCCCTCCTGTTGCGGAAGGCCACCTTGGTCTGTTTAAACTAAAAAGGTTCCACCAATATGACTACTCTACGAGGCTGAAAATTGGGCACCTTGGATCAACTCGCCAATCCGGCTGTGTGTGTCTAAACACTCGCAGCTTGCAGGCAAAACGGCCCAACATTCGTGGAAAATCTGGCAGTGTAAAAGGGGCTCTTCACTAGGAAGGATCTCTGATTTCAGCACACAAAACTCTGAATCTATGTCCTGGCATAAGCATCTAGTGACTTATGTGCTTGTAGTTTCTTCGTGGTGCCCTAGGTTCCACAGGTGTTTTTATTGGGACACTGAATATTGGGCCACTTACTTCTACCCAGTCATGAATACCGCAAAGATCTGGAGGTCTGTTACCACTTGCCAAAGTCAATCTGTCGAAGTAGCATTTGCGATCTTTGGTGGTTAGTGCCCTTGCATAGCTTGACAAGCTGTTGTGGTCCGCCATACTTCCATTGCCAGAATGCGTGTGCACCTTGTCTACATCATTGTTTGAAAACTTTATAAGGGTTTATAAAGAATGACATCATCCAGGTGTGTAGATTTATTTTATTAATTAAAAAGTAGGCTTCTTTTGCTTTTACTTAAAATTCCAATCATTCTAAATCATCATTTATGTGTATGTCTTGAAAGACACAGTAATGTTTGCAAAATGCAGGCATACAATCAAAAATTTTTTTTGTACGCATTTGCCATTTACTTTACACCCACATCATGACAGAACTAGGTAGAAACTGCACAATGGTAAAGACTGTTGCTACACATTGTATACAGAAATTCCAAATGACTCTTTGTTTACACCACATTTATCTGTATCTGTGCACGTACGGAAGAATCGGCATGGTTACTTAACATCCATTAGCCTCTAATTGTTCGCTAAGTCAATTCATATTGATTCGCTGTAATTAGGCGGTCAAGCAAAATGCACATCAGCCTCACAGTTTCCTGCTTTTGGTGTACAAAGATAAGCATGCACACGTGACTCTGCAGCATATACTGTACAGCACTAACATGGTTGATTTATTGCATATCTAAACTCTTAAGTCCCATAATGACACTACAACAAAATCTATATTTTGAGTATTAACTGTCCCTTGTAGGCTTACAAGGTAGCAGCAAAGAGCTCTCTGCTCCTTTCTTTACTTGTTTATACAGCTATCAAGCCGACATTAGAGTTTTAGTGGTGGTGCATTGTCGTTTCACAGCAAGAGGGTTCCTGGTTTCAACCCTGGGTGGAGGGGCCCTTCTGTGTGGAGTTTGCATGTTCTCCCTGTGTCAGTGTGGGTTTTCTCCATGTACTCCTTCTTCCTCCCACAGTCCAAAGACATGCAGGTTAATTGGTGACTCTAAATTGTCCGTAGGTGTGAATGAGAGTGTGAATGGTTGTCTGTCTCTATGTGTCAGCCCTGTGATAGTCTGGGGACCTGTCCAGGGTGTACCCTGCCTCTCACCCAGTGTCAGCTGGGATAGGCTCCAGCCCTCCCAGTGACCCCCGACAGGATAAGTGGTTACGGAATATGAATGAATGAATGAGTGAATTAAAGTACCAAAACCATAATAATAACATAGACACATAGAGCCAGACATTGTCAATATATTCAAGGCTCAGCCCAAACTTGGAGGGGGGTCCTATTTACAGCCGCTATTTTCACCACTTTTCAAGCCCTTTGAGTTAAAAGAATGCCTAAAAATCTGAACTTCGTTTGGGAAAAACACGATAGTTGTAAAAAATCACTCAGTAAAGCCAACATACTGAACATACACACATATATTTCCTGAAGCAATAATAATTATAATAAATGTTGAGGATGACTCATTTTCTCTCCTGCCCCCTAAAAAGAGCCAAACACTGTCTGATGTTACTATTTTATATAACATAGGAATTCAGCGTAAAAAGCATTACTAATCTTGAAACCTGTTTTTGTTTTATGATGCTGGAGTAAAGTTCACAGAATTGCTGACAAATCTGCTGTATTGAAATCCATGACATAATAACCTGGGCTGCTTTAATTGCGAATTAAGGATCCCTAGCATTGCCAGGTGAATGTTGTCTTCAATACTCTGAACTGAATATTAGGTCAACAGAACAACATTTACTCAGTTATATTAGATTTCTTTAGGGAATAGCATAGATTCAGGGACCCCCAGAAGCCACACCCTGCTCTGCCCTGTGCATGTCCTTTTCCAATTCATAATATATGACTGTTCCTCTCGAACACATGGTGTTGGTCGGTCAATCAGTCAGTCAGTCAACAGCCTCAGAGCCAGGAGAAGTGATGTACTTTTCCCTTCTAACTGCTGCAGGTCACACACACAAGCCATCTGGCAGCGCTGTAAGTGGATGCTGGAGATTTAACTCATCCAGAGGCCAAGAGATCGAGACCAAAGCCAATCAAAACAGTGCGGGCCTGCCTGAAAGGCTTTAAGGGGGAAGAGATCAAAGGTCACTGGCCTCAGTTTCAACATCAGGGTTTTTTTTTCGATCAGCAGTCTCTGTTGTTTGTCCTCTGCTGGGTTGTGAAAGAGTCATCTTATGTTTGGTTACACAGAGAGATTAAAAGTCACTCTTCTTGTTTTGAAATCAAAGCGGTTTAAATAGTAGTAGTAATTAGTAATTCATTGTTTGCCATGACAGCATAATGCCTGTCAGCACATTTAAATGAATAATTTGAATTAAGAACATCATACAAGAAGAAAACCATCCCTTAAACGATTAAAAACAAGACCAGAGTGAAACAATTACACACAATCAAGTTGATCCCATAATCATAGACCTCAATGAAACATGAGTTTGTGCATAAATATACTGCTCCACCCTTTTTGTGCTTACAGCTCATATAAATACAGTGTTTTTCTTTTATACTTTTTATTTATGAACATTTTTTGCATTCAATAAGGATGGGAACAAAAGAGAACACACAGGAAAAAAGACAAATATGAGGTCTGTCATAAATCAGTTCAGGAAATGCAGAGTAACAGGCAGCTGTAAGTTTTAACAAAGAGCAAGCTTTAATGCAGCTGATTAAAAAACATCCAGATCAAGCAGGTAACAGAAAGTCCAAATGAAAGCAGGACCAGAACTAAACTGAAAATCAAATGGGATAAAACAATGAACTAAAAAGACAGAAAACAGTGCAGGGAATAACACCAAGAACACAGGGATGAGCACAGGACAAACTGACAAAAGGGAAACACACAGGTATACATATATATATACAGAAAACTAATCACAAGAACGAGACACAGCTGGAGTAGGTAGACACAGGCCTAAGGAGGGAAATGGGGACTGGCTTATAACAGGGGTGTGGTGGGGAACACTAGGGAGGAGCAAACAAGAGGCCGTTTACACGCACACAGTGATTTTGATAAACGGAGACATCTTCCTTCGTTTGTGCCCTTCGTTTACACGCAAACGGAGATTTCTCCTCTGAAAACGAGTCTTTTTAAAAACTCCAGCCAGAGTGGAGATTTTGGAAAACTCCGGTTGCGTGTTTGCATGTAAACTGAGATAAACGGAGATAAACGGAGTTATAGGCAGCCGACGTCACAGTATGCGCCGGAACTTGCGCCTGTGTCAAAAGTGCGACCTATGTTGCTATGGTGACAATGGATACATGGAAGGCTTGAGCTTCTCGTTACACTGCCACCTACAGGTTTGGCATGCTCTTGTGTATATATACACGGGTAAGTGTAAACGAAGATCTTTTTGAAAACGGAGACGGTGAAATGTCCGTTTATGAAAATAGCCGGCCATGTGTAAACGGCCTCCAAGACTAATACAGGACAGGTGTGAGGCAAAGACTCTGGAAACAGGGAAGGACTTACAGGCCGTTTACACGTCGCCGGCTATTTTCATAAACGGACATTTCACCATCTCCGT